CTGCCACTATGGCTAGTCCTACCGTTCTCACATTTGACTCTGAGGGCCGTCCGATTAAGTTTGACGTTTGGCTCGATGACCTGCACCTGTTCCTCCAGATCACTGCCAAGGACGATGTTTCCCTGTTTGACCACACGTCCAGCGCCGCTCCCGCACCTGCTGCTACTGCTGACAGTACTCCTCGCTCACAGTGGCAGACCCGTGACGCTCATGCTCGCCTAGCCGTTCGCAGCCACCTGCCATTAGATGAGCGCGAGCATTTTGGCCAGCATAAGACCGCTAAGGAGCTGTACGATGTTGTATTTGCACGCTACTCCTCCCCTGCTACTGCTGCGATAGGCCGTCTCTCGCTGCCCTATCTCTTCCTCGATCTGTCTGCCTTTGCCACTGTAGCTGACCTCATCACACACCTCCGTACTAGTGATCTCCGCTACCGTGCCGCGCTTCCCCCCGATGTCCTAGCCAAGAACCCTCCCCTGATGTACCTCACACTCTACCACCTAGTCACTTGCCTCCCTGGCTCTCTTCGCACTGTCAGGGACCACTTTCTAGCCCTCTCCCCCACCGAACTCACTGTCGACCTGCTCGAGAAGGAACTCCTAGCAGCTGAGAAGAGCATTGTAGCTGTAGGTGCCTCTCGTGGCGACCCTCGCGCTCCCTTCTTTGAGGGGTGCTCCCCCGTCCCCCTCCTCCCCTCCATTGCATCTGCTGCTGCTGTCGACTACCTGAGTGCTGAGGGGGTCGGGGCTGCGTCTGCTCCTAGTGGGAGGCGCAAGGGCGGCAGGGGCAAGGGGGGCAGGGGTGGCGGAGGTGGCGGCGGGGGCGGCGGTGGTGGAGGGGGTGGAGGGGGCGGGGGTGATGGCGGTGGTGGGATTGGTGCTGGTGGTGGGGGGGTCACTGGCGGAGCCGGGGGTGGTGGCGGCGGCGGTGGTGGGGGTGGCGGGGGTGGTGGTGGCAGTGGTGGCGGCAGTGGAGCCGGTGGCGGGCGCGGTGGAGCGGTGCAGCGTGGGGGGATCGGAGGTGGTCAAAGGTAGCAGCAGCAGCGTCCCAGCGAGACCCCGTCGTCCCAGCAGCTCCGTGAGTGGTACTCTCAGCGTGGGGGGTCTGGATGTGGAGGTACCTGCCCGTACGTCATCCGCACAGGTGACCGCACTGGCCAGACCTGTGGGAGGTTTCATACGGCGCATTGCGTACCTGGGAGGTTTCTTTAACCTCGACAACGCCTGGCGCGAGCAGTTCCCTGACGCCTCTGAGCTGCCCCGCTGGGCTGATCTGCTCAAGAAGGGAATTGATATCTTTGCTCTTGATTATGATGCTATCCTTGCTGCTATGTATGCATTGACTATTAGTGTTGAGGGTGACTGCTACCTGAGTGTACCGCCCGACCCGGGTATAGGGACCAGTGAGGCTGCCGCTCTAGGTGCTAGTGTGTCTGCTGCCCGAGGTCCTGGTTGTCAACGGGAGTGGGGTGTTGGCCCCGTCCTCGCTTGGGCGGAGCTGACATCGTGGTCGGGTGTGAGGGGAGCAGCCGACCTGCAGCAGTGGGCGAGCTGGTTGACAAGGAGGTCGACCTGCACGGGGACCACTACACTGGCGCCGTCTTCGGAGAGGTCGACTTGGGAGTCGACCTGCGGAGGACGTCAACTTGGTGACGTCAACTTGGGGAAGCCGACTTCGGTGGTCAGCTGACGGACTTCTGGTTGACCAGCGGGTGGTCGACTGGACCTGGTGGTCGACGAATGAGGGGCCGACATCGACCTCGACTCAGGATGCTGAGCAGTTGGGCATCGAAAAGCGGGGCGTCAACTTCGGGTGGCCGACATGAGTGGTCGGCTGTGCAAGTCGACGAGGAGCATGTCGACCAGGAGTGCTGGTCGACGTGGAGCTGGTCGACCAGAAGGGACGTCGACCTAGAGGAGGTCGACTGAGGGGCACGCTCGTCGACTTGGAAGGTCGACGGGCACGTACGGGAGCTGCTGGTCGACGTGGTTGCCCGGTCGACCAGGTTACCTGGGTGACGAAGTGCTGCGGAGGAGTGCGACGGTCGCCCAGGCGAAGTTGGCGAGCCCGACCTCGGTGGTGGTATCCCGAGGTCGGCGTGGCGGATCAAAGGCAGTCGTCAGCTCAAGGTTGACGTGGTGTGTGCGCTGTGCAGGTGACGAGACTCTGCACGCCAATCATCTGCGCGCACCTGCGAAGCGGGTGCACTGCTGTCCTGCGTGAGCAATGCTGGCACGCCATCAACCTGCGATGTTGGCACGCCGTCGACCTTGCCTTGCTGGAGTGCGGTCGACCAAGTCGTGCTGGAACGCGGTCGACCAAGCTGCGCTGGCAGTTGGCCGACCTGAATGCTTGCTCTGATGTAGTCTTGCTATGCCAACTTCATTTTACCATTGTTCTGAACTTTTCCTAGTGGAACTCTTGCCAACTTTCCCCGTGAACTAGCAAGTAGTGTGTGCACAAGGAAAACGACTAAGGACTAACGAACGCAGAGATCACACGAGCACACGTGCCTAGCCCGTAGTCAAGCTCCCGTTGCAGCAGTTATCTCCGCATGGTGCGGTGAGCGTGGACAACACCACGACGTAGTTCAGTCTAGCCGACTTTGCACATACCGATCGTGTTCGTAGACCGGCAGCCGTGTAGTCACTAGCGTATGTGTAGGCGACGCCGCGGTGATGGACACCCTGGAGGGACGGCTGGAGGATGCGATGAGATGCCATGAGGCCCAGGAGTATGGGGCAATACCCTGGGCAGTCGTCGAAGCCGGACTCCGCTGTGTGTGGGCGGCAGAGCATCCCCCTTCTCGACCTGCCTCTCCTCGACCGGTGAACAACGACGGCAGCGTCGACGCGGGCATCCACGCCGGTGGAGGTCAGGTCGGCAGCAGTGCGGGAGGCACGTCGAGGCAGCGATGTATGATATACGCCGGTGAAGTCGGCGGCATTCAGGCGCGAGGGATGCAGTCGTCAGCGGCTGCAGGCTCTTCGCAGGGTGACGTCGGAGGTCGACGGAGTGGGCTGTCGCCGATGTCAGCGTCCCAGGTGACGGCAGGTGGGATTGCGCCGAGCTACGGCTACTTCAAGTTTACGCCAGACAGGATCTCCGTCACCCCTCCGCTGGTCGGTCGACCCGACATTCTCACATGGAAGGAAGCTATCGAGCCCCATCTGGAGATGGCCGGGCTGATCGGCTTCGCCCGAGGGACCGTGGCGACGTCGGGGGAGCACCACCCTGACTTGCGGGCGGAGTTTCGCGCCGTGCAGCTGTTGACCTTCACGGTCATCTCGCGGCGCTGCTCGCTAGGCGTGCAGATCGCTTTGAAGTGGTGCCGGGAGTACATCAACGCCGGCCACCGGGCGTGGCACTTCATTGAGTTGACGTACCAGGTCACCGACGACCTGTTCATCGCCCAGCTGGAGGGATAGCTGACGCACCTGCGTATGGGTGACGAGGAGACAGCGACTGACTACTGCAACCGAGCCCGGCGAATTCTCGCCACTATCAGGATGGCCGGCGCGCAGTACTCCACGGCGTCGTACATCACCCATGTCATGCAGGGACTTTCTAGCAGCTATAACCTGCTGAAGCGGCTGTCCATGGCGCCGAGCACGAGGGCGACGCTCAACGAGGACAACCTGACCTCGTACATCCAGCAGGACGAGGCGATGCAGGAGGCTGAGCGGTAACAGGAACTCTTGGCGCAGGCCAACTTCGTCGCCCCGGTGAAGCAAGGAGGCCGACCAGGACAGCGCGGACAGTCTGGTGGCGGCGGGAGCGGTGGCTGGAAGCCGGCCAAGGAGGTGGACAAGAAGAGGTCGACCAAGGGCAGGGTCGGGGAGGAGGAGGTCGATGTCGGGAGTGCTGGCTGTGTGGCGACCCCGACCATTTCTCCTTCGAGTGTCCCAACCGCAGTGACTCTGACGACGACGACGCTAAGGGAGGCCGTGGGAGGTCTGGCAGCCATCGTCCTCATCGTGGAGGAAACCAGCCGCGCAAGGAGAAGCAGTCGACCAAGACATCGACTTCGGCGAAGGACGCCGACTCCGCTGCAGGCGGCAAGGGGCGAGACGACAAGACGGCGTTGTGCTCGCTGGTCGGCGTCGTGGAGCCGACCATCTCTCTGGCGCCAGAGGCCGGAGAGGACTTCCAGGCGGTGGCGGCAGCTGTGCAGGCGAACCCAGCGGTGGTCCTGCTCGACAGCGGTTGCTCCCACCACCTGATGGGGACGAAGGAAGCCTTCGTCGACCTGCAGCCGAGCGGCGCCATCAGGCATGTGCGCGGCTTCAATGGGGCACTGCAGGACGTCCAGGGCCGTGGCACCGTCGCTCTGCAAGGAGAGGCCGGGAAGGAGGTGCTCATCCCCGACGTGCTGTACGTCCCGGGTGTGCGGGCCAGCCTGCTGTCGGCCGGCCAGCTGAAGGAGCACGGCGTGAAGCTGCAGGAGGACGGAGACGGCATGCTGCTCGTCTCGGCAGCAGGGGAGGTGCTCGGGCGGGCGAGGTACTCCGGGCGAGTCCTCTGCACCGACCTGCGTCCCTACACGACGTCGTCAGCATCGACCACGCTGGAGGTCGTGGCTCTTCGGGCGATCGTCTCGAAGGCAAAGTCGACGCTGGACCGGATGCATGCGAGGCTTGCGCACGTCGGCATGGACACCCTACGGAGCTCGGCGAAGAACGAGGTCGCCATTGGGCTGGACCTCAAGTCGGCAACGGGCGCCGACTCTCCATGTGTCTCGTGCATCGGTGGGAAGCTGGCGCGACACTCCTTCCCCGACAAAGGCTCCGACGCCGACGAAGTGCTGGCCGTTGTGCACATCAACCTGTGCGAGCCGTTTCGCGTGGCTGCTAAAGGACGGCAGCTTGTACTTCTTGTTGCTGAAGGACCGCAAGACCCGCTACGTGTGGGTAAGGACGCTTGCCAAGAAGTCGGATGTGCTGCTGGAGTTCCAGAAGTGGCTAGTGTTGGTGGAGAGACAAGTGAAGAAGTCGGTACTGATGCTGCGCTTAGATCGAGGAGGAGAGTTCCTCGGGAAGATTTTCACCGACTTCTTGGTCGGAAAGGGGATCGTCCACGACCTTACCTGCCCGTACACCCCGCAGCAGAACGGCATGGCGGAGCGGGAGATAAGAACGGTGGTGGAGTCGGTGCGGACAATGCTGCTGCACATGGGTGTGCAGCACCACTGGTGGCACCTCGCTCTGCGGCAGGCCGTCTGGGTCCGCAACTGCCTTTAGAGGTCAACGCTGCCGCCCGGGACGACACCGCACCTGCTGCTGACCGGGCAAAAGCCCGACTTGTCGCTAGCGCGGGTGTGGGGCTGCATGGCCCAGTTCCTTGTCCCCGAGCAGCAGCGTGGTGGGAAGCTGAAGCCAAAGACCAGGTAGGGCCTGCACCTTGGCGTGTCGGGGGAGAGCAAGGGCTGGAAGCTCCTCGACATCGACGCCAACCGGTTGGTCACCACGTCGGACGTGGTGTTCTACGAGGACATGTCGCTGGAGGTGTGGAAGTCGGAGCACGTGCCGGTGTTAGGTCGGACGCCTACTACCTCGCCGACTGACACCTCGATGGCGACGCTGCCTCTGCTCACCGAGGTCGGTGAGCTTGCTGCTGAGGACGCCGAGGTCGTCCGTCCTCCTTCCCCTTCTCCTACGACTCCTGCCCCTCCCCTCGTGGCCGACTTGCCTGGGCTGGCCTCGACGTCGATCTCCGGTGATGAGGGGAGACGTGGGGCGTCACCTGTGGCGCCGGCCCCAAGCATCGCCGGTGGCCGACGTGATGCCGTGAAGCAGGTGGTGCAGCCGACTTTGGTGAGGCCAGTGAAGGAGACGCCGCCTGCAGAACAACAGCTGACAGGGGAGCAGACGGCAGTGACGTGGACCAAGGAGCAGTCAGCGACCGGGCAGTCGGCTGGGACGCCGACCACAGGGGAGCAGTCGGCTGGGACGCCGGCTAAGGAGCAGCAGGACGCCGAGGGCAGCGACGATAGCGACGATGGAGGGGACGCCGAGGAGGTCCAGCCAGGACCACGGCGTTCAGGCCGAATTCGGAGGCCGCCTGACTTCTTCGTCCCCGCTGCCTTCACCACGGTGTACGACGTGGACGATGATGACGACGACCTGCTGTACGACGACGCCGAGGAGGATGAGGAGTTTCCGGAGCTTGACCCCGACATGCTAGCCGACCCCGAGCACCGTTGGGACATCTCGACGATGACGGTGAAAGAAGCATTGGCAAGCTGGAAGGGCCCGGCGGTGAAGGCCGCTATGGAGGAGGAGATTCGTAGCCTCATCAACATGGGCACTTGGGAGCTGGTCGAACGCCCGCCGGGGGTGAACGTCATGAAGAACCGGTGGGTGTTGACGACGAAGTACCACATCGACGACACCGTCGAGCGAGAGAAGGCAAGGCTGGTCGTGAAGGGCTTCACACAGGTGTACGGCGCCAACTACGATGAGACGTTTGCGCCGGTAAGCAGCTACGTCACGCTGAGGATCTTCCTTAGCATCGTCACCGTCCTGGACCTTAACCTGATGTAGCTCGACATGAAGAACGCCTTCCTGCAGAGCAAGCTCGATCGGGTGCTATACATGTCCCAGCCGGACTACTTCAATGACGGATCCGGCCGGGTGTGCAAGCTGCTGAAGAGCCTGTACGGGCTGAAGCAGTCGCCGCTGTTGTGGTACTTGGCGCTCAACGATGTGCTGGTCGGCGCCGGGTGGAAGAAGAGCCAGGTCGACGAGGCTCTCTACTTCAAGGTCGGCGAGGGTGGAGTGGCCTGCTGGGTGCTGGTCTATGTCGACGACTTGCTTGCCGCCAGCAGGAGCGCCGCGATGCTGAAGAAGCTGAAGGAGCTGCTGGAAGCCGCCTTCGAGCTGCGCGAGATCTCGCCGATGCAGAAGTACCTCGGGCTGGAGATCGTGCGCGACAGGTCGGCGGGGAAGATGTGGCTGCACCAGCAGGACTACGCCGACAAGCTGCGTAGGCGCTTCATCGACGAGGAGCAGACCGGGCGCACCCCGAAGACACCGGTCTCGGTCGGCGCCTACGCCGAGCTCACCTTCGACGACGAGGAGGCGCAGGAACGGCAGGAGGAGGAGTACCGGCAGAAGGTCGGCTCGCTGCATTTCGCGGCGACGACGACGAGGCCGGACATCGCCTTCGCCTGCAGCAAGCTGGGGAGTGGCCTCACGGTGAGGAGCGACCAGCACTGGTGCAAGGTCGACCGCTGCCTCGCCTACCTCGCCAACACACGTGACATTGCCCTGGAGTTCGGCGGTGGACCTGAGTCGATGAAGTTGGTCAGCTACGTGGACGCCGACGACGCTGGTGACAAACAGAAGAGGACGAGCACGGGTGGCTACGTGTTCATCTACGGAGGGGCTGCAGTCTCCTGGTCGAGCCAGCGCATCAAGTGCACAACGTTGTCGTCGACCGAGTCGGAGTACGTGGCGGCCACTGAAGCTGGCAAGGAAGGACGCCGCCTTCGCTTCCTCCTCGCTGAGTTCCGGCAGCTGGACGCCGGGAAGCCGACTGTCCTGCGCGTGGACAACAAGTCGGCCATCACGGTCGCCTAGGGAATGGGGTTGACAGGCAACCTCAAGCACATGGAGCGGCGACAGGCCTGGCTGCAGCACATGGTGAAGCGCGGGAAGTTCTCGCTGCAGTACATCCCAACCACTGAGCAGCCGGCCGACTTCCTGACGAAGGTGCTGCACTATCCGGCCTTCAACCGGTGCTCCGTCGCAATCGGCCAGGTGCGCTTGGCCGACGTGGGCGACAGCGACAGCGAAGTGCAGCAGTAGGTGCCATGCCCTCTTGCATGGCTGGTGCGGTGACCGGTGTGCTGTGTGTTGGGTGCACGTCGACGAGCTTTTCTCCGAGAAGTACTGTCGTGTGGGCTGGGGGCCCAAGCGTGAACGTGGCAGGGGAGTGTCAATGGGAGTTGGGTGTTGGCCCCGTCCTGGCTTGGGCGGAGCTGACATCGTGGTGGGGTGTGAGGGGAGCAGCCGACCTGTAGCAGTGGGCGAGCTGGTTGACGAGGAGGAGACCTGCACGGGGACCACTGCACTGGCGCCGACTTCGGGGATGTCGACTTGGGAGTCGACCTGCGGAGGACGTCAACTTGGTGACGTCAACTTGGGGAAGCCGACTTCGGTGGTCGGCTGACGGACTTCTGGTCGACCAGCGGGTGGTCGACTGGACCTGGTGGTCGACGAAGGAGGGTGCGACGTTGACCTCGACTCAGGATGCCGAGCAGTTGGGCGTCGAATAGCGGGGCGTCAACTTCGGGTGGCCGACGTGAGTGGTCGGTCGACAACTGTGCTGGTCCACGAGGAGCATGTCGACCAGGAGTGCTTGTCGACGTGGAGCTGGTCGGCCAGAAGGGACGTCGACCTGGAGGAGGTCGACCGAGGGGCACGGTCGTCGACTTGGGAGGTCGACGGGCACGTACGGGAGCTGCTGGTCGACATGGTTGCCCGGTCGACCAGGTTACCTGGGTGTGGAAGTGCTGCGGAGGAGTGCGACGGTCGCCCAGGCGAAGTTGGCGAGCCTGACCTCGGTGGTGGTATCCCGAGGTCGGCGTGGCGGATAAGAGGCAGTCGTCAGCTCGAGGTTGACGTGGTGTGTGCGCTGTGCAGGTGACGAGACTCTAGACGCCAATCATCTGCGCGCACCTGCGAAGCGGGTGCACTGCTGTCCTGCGTGAGCAACGCTGGCACGCCGTCAACCTGCGATGTTGGCACGCCGTCGACCTTGCCTTGCTGAAGCGCGGTCGACCAAGTCGTGCTGGAACGCGGTCGACCAAGCTGCGCTGGCAGTTGGCCGACCTGAATGCTTGCTCTGATGTAGTCTTGCTATGCCAACTTCATTGTACCATTGTTCTGAACTTTTCCTAGTGGAACTCTTGCCAACTTTCCCCGTGAACTAGCAAGTAGTGTGTGCACAAGGAAAACGACTATGGACTAACGAACGCAGAGTGCCTAGCCCGTAGTCAAGCTCTCGTTGCAGCAGTTGTCTCCGCACTGGTAAGGCTGCTGCTCTAGGTGCTAGTGAGTCTACTGCTCCAAGTGGTACGGCGACTACTGAGGCACTGCACACCTTCACACTGGACTCGGGTGCATCCCGGTGCTTCTTTCGTGACCGCACTGTCCTTGAGCAGCTACCTCGGTCAGATGCTGTCTCCCTCGCCGAACCCTCGGGGGTCCCAGTCCTTGCGACCTCCTCCACTGTCCTCCCTTGTCCAGCGGTTCCGGCCGGCACCCTGTCCGGTCTTTACCTCCCCTCGTTCTCTACGAACTTGGTGGCGGGCTCTGCTCTCAAGGATGGGGGTGTTCACCAGTTCACCCCTGCCTATGAGCGTGTGACCCGCTGTACGTGTGCTCGGACGGGTCGCCACCTGGCTACCTTTACTCGGTAGCCGGGGTCAGACCTATACACACTGACCACTGAGTCACCTCAGGTAGCTGCGTCTGCGTCTGCGTCGGGTCAGCTGTCAGCCCCCTGCTCGTGTCGCACCCTGTCGCACCAGACCGTCCTCTGGCACCACCGCCTTGGTCACCCTTCAGTGCAGCGCCTTCGTGGCATGCACTCCTGGTACCTTGTCTCTGGTCTTCCCAGGGTTCTCCCACCCTCGCCTGCTCCTCCCTGTCTTCCCTGTGTCGAGGGGCGGCAGCGCGCCACTCCTCACTCCTCCTCGTTCCCTCCCACAGAGGCTCCTCTGCCGACTCTCCACCTGGACGTGTGGGGCCCAGCCCGTGTCCGTGGATAGGGCCACGAGCGAAACTTCCTGCTGGTCGTCAACGACTACACGCGCTACACCACGGTCTTCCCCTTGCGCACCAAGGGTGAGGTCCCTAATGTTTTGATCCCTTGGATCCGCGCTGCTCGTCTCCAGCTCCGCGAGCGGTTCTAATCGGACTTTCCAATCCTGCGTCTGCACTCTGACAGGGGTGGTGGGTTTTCCTCCGACCTCTTGGCAGCCTACTGTGCGGAGCACGGCATCCGCCAGACGTTCACACTTCCCGCCTCTCCACAACAGAATGGGATTGCTGAGCGCTACATTGGCTTAGTCATGGAGGTCGCTCGTACCTCCATGATACATGCGGCTGCCCCCCATTTCCTGTGGCCGTTTGCTGTGCAGTACGCTGCGCATCAGCTCAACCTCTGGCCGCATGTCTCTGCTCTGGAGACCTCGCCCACACTGCGTTGGACGGGGAAGGTTGGCGATGCGTTGGTGTTCCGAGTCTGGGGATGTCGAGCCTTTGTCCGCGATACGTCTGCGGACAAGCTCTCCTCCCGTGCCGTTCCCTGCGTCTTTCTTGTCAGAATCAAGAAGTGATTGAACTATGAAAAGTTGGAGTACAAGTACCAAATCCTAGCTTTGTGTACCCCTAAAGGCTAACCCACTATAGCCTACACAACAATAACACATATAGTGTTTGACACACCCCCATAGGCAAAGTGGGGGAGAGCAAGGGGTCACAAGACCAGTCAAGAGAGGCAAGCAAGCTCAGGGTGGATCACAACGTCACCACACATTCCGAGCACAAGCAAAGGGCCACATGGCCAGTTCACATGAAGAAGTATATATGCAGCACAAACAACAAGGGTGATCTCAACCTAGCAGAGCAGACATGCAGGAGTATATATATAGAGATCACAGTACACGTAAAGCCTAAAAAAGTGAGGAAAAGTGGGCACCAGCCCCAGAAAGTGCAGAAGCGCTGATGATCAACAGGCTGAAGTGCCTTGGTGAATATATCAGCAGTGTTGGCCTGAGAGGCCACGTAACGTAGACGAAGCTGACCGCGCTGCTGCAGCTCTCGAGCAAGGAAGTAACGGAGAGCGATATGCTTCGTTCTGTGCTCCAGTCTTTGCTCCTCACACAAGGCAATGGCAGCCTTGTTGACAACGTACAGCACTGGAGGAGAACTAGGCCACTCTCCCTGGTCGGTGAGCAGGTAGGTGAGCCAGCATAACTCCTGTGCAGCCATGGCTGTGGCGTAGATCTGAGACGAACGCGTAGAGCGCCACGAAACTGAGCCAGAGCCAAGGCTGAAGGTGTATCCCTGTGACGACCACTGAGTAGCCTGGTCATCAACCCAACAAGCGTCTGAGTGCCCAGTGAGAACAACTGAGCTCCCTCCTCCAAGCATGAGCCCCATGCCCGATGTACTGCACAAGTAGCGCAAGACCCTCTTTGCAGCATCCCAGTGCACCTTTCGGTGCCTGCAAGGAGCCACGTAGCGGGCAAAAAGGCCAAGAGGGTATGCTAGGTCAGGATGAGTGCAAGTCATCATGTACATGAGGCAACCAACTAGCTCTGGGTAAGGACCACTCGACTCTATGGACTCATCCGAAGGCATAGCTGAGAGCGAGTGATCGACAGCCAGAGCAGTGGCCTGTGCTGAGGACCAGGTGAAGCCGAAGCGCTGAAGGACCTGCTGCACCATGTGTGACAGAGTCAGGGCGTGCTCTGTCCCGGGTGATCTGCAAGCCAAGGTAGCTGCGCAGTTCACCCAGGTCTGTGCACGTGTGTCTCTTCTGTAGCTCCGACATCAAGTGGGCGAGACCCTCAGTGTCAGCAGTAGCAAAGACCAAGTCGTCGACGTACACGAGGATGTAGAACGGTGGCAGCGAAGTGTCGGTGCGTAGAAACAGTGATGGGTCAGCAGTAGAAGGAGCGAACCCAAGTGCCGCAAGACTAGTCCTCAGTGTGTCGTGCCACTCACGTGGTGCCTGGCGGAGACCGTAGACCGGCCGCCGGAGGCTCCACTGGGTACCAGGAGGAAACGACCCAGTGAAGCCAGGAGGGCGGCGCAGCCAGATCTCCTCGTGCAGACTGCCCTGCAAGAAGGCTGTGCTGAAGTTAAGAGAGTGAAGCTTGTAGTCACGCTGAGCAGCAACGTGCAGTAGTACCCGAAGAGTGGTCACCTTCGGGGTGGGGGAGAAGGTCTGAAAGAAGTCTACTCCCTCTCGCTGACAGAAGCCTCGAGCAATGTAACGAGCCTTGAAGACAGGCGGAGAACTCGGTGGCCGCTTCACCCTGAAAATCCACATGCCACTGACGATGTTCGCCCCAGGCGGGGGAACCTCGTCGACGTAGGTGCTTGTGGACTTCCAGGAAGCCATCTCTGCGTCCATGGCTGACTGCCACTGTGAGGAGTAGGGACCCTCGATCGCCTCAGCGTACGACCGCTGAGTCGGGTTGTCTGGTGCATCCGGGTCTCCCTCAGGGGCAATCAGCATGGACACGAGATGGGGCGCAGCGGCTGCAACACACTCAAGGTCCTCCTGTCTGTCCTCAAGGACGTCCGTGCCTAGAGCACACTCACCCCCGACGGACGGAGGACAAATAGACTCAGACTCAGCAACAAGACTGGCAGCGTAGTCTAGACGACAGCGAGCAGCAAAGTCGACAAGCTCAGCAACTAGGGCAGACGCAGCAGTCGACTCAAAGGAAGGGTCAGTGACAGCAGTGGCCAGGAGACGCGTGACAGTAGGACTGGCAGCACGAAGAGAGCCAGACTCTGGGTCAGCAAGGACAGGAAGAGAGGACGCAGGAGGAGACGGA